GCCGGCCGCGCGCGCCCCCCGCCCCCCGCTCCGAGCTGGACGCCCCTCTACCCGCAAGATGTGGCACAACGTGGGGCTGACCCTGCTGATGTTCGTGGCCACCCTGCTGATCGTCCTGCTGCTGATGGTGTGCGGTGAGTGGGGCATCCGCCGTGGGGCAGTTGCACGCTGCGGTGCACGCGCCAGCTCTCCTCGTGTTGCTGACTGGCTTGTTCTGTCTGGTTAAAAAAATTAAAAAAAAAATTAAGGCGTGAATGGACAAGTGTCTGAAAATCATCTGTTGTCCAGTTACCTCTCAGGGGTGAGCTCAGCGGAGATGTACCCCTGACCTGTGACCGCCGCTGGCATCCCGGAGAGGGAGAGAGAACGGGATCCAGGTCTGGGCATCTTCACTCGGGGTTACACCAGATATTGCTTCACCGGCAGCTTCTGCTCTTGATTGCCATTCTTACCACACTCTGCCCAGATTTTAACCTTGGCCTGTATTCGAAGGTGAAGTGATTGGCTACTCCTTTTTCTTTCTTTACCGATTCTGACCCTAAAGGTAAAGACAGGTTTCGCTCCCTTCATTCAAATCAGGAATAGGATCAGAGTTGGCTTTGAAGCCCATGGGAAATTGTTTGTTTACTTGGAGTTTCAGGCTTCAACTAAATTCCAAACAGAAATGTTGAGACGAGGCAGAACTTGAAAACGCTGGCTGCGTTAAACTTCCAGGGTTGGGTAACCCGCTCTTAGTTCTGTGATAATGGTGCTGTTTTGTTTGCTGTGAGTTTTTTCCTTCTTGGAAGGACAGGACATAAACTTTCTTCTCAAGGTGCTATTAGCTCAGTTTTAGATCTTTTTGAGTTTTTTTATACTAAGTAACTGATAACCACAAATCTCTTAGCAGAGTGGCTCAACAACTGTGAAAATTTGGTAAGTATTTCAATGTCATTGAGTTTATTTTCTCATAATTGCATTGACGTATGGGTTCAGATTAATGCAATAACTGGTCAGAATTCAAAATAAATACTATAGGGTGTATTCATTACATGAAAAATGTACTAACTGAGTTGGGTTTGGAGAGGATATGTGCGTAAAGTGTGTTTGTATGTTCCTCCACGTCCTGCGTGGTTCAGGGTTCAGGATCTGGAAGAGGGGCCGCACACAAATGGAAGAGACTAGACAAGAGATAATTTGGAAATTGGGGGGCCAGGCGAGAGCACATCCCAAGAGGATGGACTCCACTTGTGCTCAGGCCTTGCCATCCCTTTTATTGAGTTTGGGATACACCTATATAGCCCCTAGGCAGGCAAGTTCCAGTAACAGGCAGACTGTCTTATCAGTAAGGATTTACATGACTATCTGGTGGGGAAGTTGCTTCAGCTACCCTTGTCTCGACTGAACAGTGGGTGCACAGCCCTAACCTTGGCCAGGGCTTCAAGGGTCACCAGCCTTCCGGGCTCCTTGTCCACACCTCTCTGCTAGAGAAGACAGACAAGAGGCGGCTTCCCACAGATATGGGTGTGTTTGTGCATATGCATATATATGTATTTGTATTTACAAACTTGTATGTATATATTTTTAATTTTCTTTTCTGATGATAAAACAATTGAAAAGACTTCCTCAATTTCCTGCTTTTGAAGTCAAGATTTTGGGCTAATTGTAGGTGTTTAGGATACTTGAAGTAAGGAAAATCAGACCTTTGTTATTTGTTTGGATATGAAGAAGGAAGAAAGCATATACTTTCTTTTCTAATTTGAAGATGCAGGCTACCTGGAGATGGCAGTGAAACATGTAGACTGCATGATATGTGGCAACACCTTTGATAGAATATTTGCCAAACTTGCCTTTGGGACATTAAATTCCTAATTGCTACAAATATCAGTCTTTCTCTTGAGACGGACTAGTAAGCCCAGGACAAGTGAAATAGGGAAACTGAGACAAATAGTTAAAAAATCTTGATGCCAAGCAGTTTGTAGACATCTAGCAAATCATGTCTTCCCTAAACCAAGGACACTTAGGAGTAAATGGTTTACACTTATCCCAAACAGAGGGTAATAGCTTAAAACACCCTACTCAGGGAGACAGATAGCGGAAATCCAATTAGTGCTATTTGCCAAACCCCACCCAAGGACAGATGCAGTTGAGACCCTCCCCTAAGACCGTCCCTAAACACCTAGCATTTTCTTTTTTTAAATTTAAATTATTTTTTATTATATTTAAATTATTTATTGTTTAAAATATTACATGTCTCCTTTTCCCCCCATTGACCTCTCCCTGGCTATTCCCACCCCCCAGCACATGCCCTCACCCCCCTACTCTCTGTGTCCATGGGTTATGCTTTATGCATGCATACAAGTCCTTTGGTTGATCTCTTACACCTCCTCCCCCTCTACCCCCCACCTCCCCTCTGAGGTTCAAAGGTCTGTTCGATGCTTCTATGTCTCTGGATCTATTTACTTTTGTTCATCAGTTTATATTGTTCATTATATTCCACAAGAGTGAGATCACGTGATATTTATCTTTCTCCAACTGGCTTATTTCACTTAGCATAATGCTCTCCAAGTCCATCCATGCTGTTGCAAATGGTAAGAGGTCCTTTTTTACAGCAGCGTAGTATTCCATTGTGTAGATGTACCACAGTTTTTTAATCCACTCATCTGCAGATGGGCACTTAGGCTATTTCCAAATCTTAGCTATTGTAAATTGTGCTGCTATGAACATAAGGGTGCAAATATTCTTTCTGATTGGTGTTTCTGATTTCTTGGGATGTACGGTATTCCTAGAAGTGGGATTATTGGGTCAAATGAGAGTCCCATTTTTAATTTTTTGAGGAAACTTTATACTGTTTTCCACAGTGGCTGCACCAATCTGCATTCCCAACAGCAGTGCACAAGGGTTCCTTTTTCTCCACATTCTTGCCAGCACTTGTCATTTGTTGATTTGTTGATGATAGCCATTCTGACAGATGTGAGATGGTATCGCATTGTTGTTTTGATTTGCATCTCTCAGATGATTAGTGACTTTGAGCACGTTTTCATATGTCCCTTGGCCTTCTGTATGTCCTCTTTTGAAAAGTGTCTGTTTAGGTCCTTTGCCCATTTTTTGATTGGGTTATCTTCCTTTTGTTAAGTTATATGAGTTCCCTATGAATTTTAGAGATTAAACTCTTATCAGATATAACATGCAAATATGTTTTCCCATGCAGTGGGCTCTCTTGTTTTGTTGATGGTTTCTTTTACTGTGCAGAAGTTTTTTATTTTGATGTAGTCCCATTTGTTTATTTCCTCCTTAGTTTCCATTGTCCTTGGAGCTGTAGTGGTAAAGATATTGCTATGACAAATGTTTGATATTTTGCTGCCTATGGGTTCTTCTAAGACTTTAATGGTTTCCCGTCTTATGTTTAAGTCCTTTATCCATTTTGAGTTTATTTTTGTGTATGATGTAAGTTGGTGGTCTAGTTTCATTTTTTTGCATGTATCTGTCCAATTTTCCCAACACCATTTATTGAAGAGACTGTCTTGACTCCATTGTTTGCCTCCTTTGTCAAATATTAATATTATGTGAGCATAATGGCTTGGGTCGATTTCTGGGTTCTCTGTTCTGTTCCTTTGGTCTGTGTGTCTGTTCTTGTGCCAGTGCCAGGCAGTTTTGAGAAGAGTGGCTTTGTAATATAGCTTGATATCTGGTATTGTGATCCCTCCAACTTTGTTCTTCTTTCTCAGGATTAGTGCAGCTATATTTTTTTATTCCACATGAATTTTTGGAGAGTTTGTTCTAGGTCTGTGAAATATGCCAATGGTATTTTAATGGGGATTGCATTGAATCTGTAGATTGCTTTGGGTAGTATGGACATTTTAATGATGTTGATTCTACCAATCCATGAACACAGTATACTGGTATTCTTCAACTTGTTTATATCTTCCTCTATCTCTTTTTTCAGTGTCCTGTAGTTTTCAGAGTACAGGTATTTTACCTCCTTAGTTAAGTTTATTCCGAGGTATCTTAATTTTTTGTTGCAATGGTATATGGGGTTATTTTTTTAGTTTCTCTTTCTGAGAGTTCATTATTTATTTATATAAAAAGCCAGCAACTGGAGCACTGTAATGACCAGAATGACCAGTCACTATGACGCCCACTGTGGCCAGCCAGCCTGCTGATCGTGGGTGGGGCTGGTGTCCAACCTCCTGCGGCCCCTCCCTCCAGCTGGCCCCGCCCCCGATTGCCCCCCCTACCCCAATAGGGGGCAGGACTGGCTGGCCAACCTCCTGCAGCCCCTTCCCCCCCGCCCAGCCCCATCCCAGATTGGCCCCCCACCCAGATTAAGGGTGGGGCCGGCCAGCCCACAGCCCCTCCCCACAGCCGGCCCCGCCCCTAATCAGCCCCACACCCCATTCAGGGGTGGGGCCTGCTGGCCAATTTCTGGCGGCCTCTCCCCCCTCATCCCCTTGGCTGGCCGAGCCCTGACTGGGCCCTGATCGGGGCGGGCTGGCTGGCCAACCTCCCGCCATCTTCTCCTCCCTACAAGCCTGGCCCCGATCCACCCCGATCAGGGCCAGGCCGGCCGGACCCCATCCACGCACGAATTTGTGCACTGGGCCTCTATATAAAAATACTGTAGATTTCTGGGGGTTAATTTTGTATCCTCCTATGTTGCCAAATTCATTTATTTAATTTAGTAGTTTTTTGATGGAGTCTTTAGGGTTTTTCTATGTACAATATCATGTCATCTGTGAATAATGACAGTTTTACTTCTTCTTTTCCAATTTGGATACCTTTTGTTTCTTCTTCTTATCTGATTGCTATGGCTAGCACTTCCAGCACAATGTTGAACAGGAGTGGTGAAAGTGGGCATCCCTGTTTTGTTCCTGTTCTTAGGGGAAATGGTTTTAGTATTTTCCTGTTGAGTATGATGTTGGCTATAGGTTTGTCATATAAGGCTTTTATTGTGTTGAGGAATGATCCCTTTTTATCTTACCCATTCAGCCATCCTTTGTCTTTTGATTGGAGTATTTAAGCCATTTACATTTAAGGTTATTATTGATAGGTACTTGTTTGTTGCCATTTTTATACTTCATGCCTGTGTTCCTTCTTCCCTTTCTATTTCTTCTTTTTTACAACAGTCTTTTTAGCATTTCTTGCATTGCTGGGT